ATATATATATATATATATATATATATATATATATATATATATATATATATAAATTTGTAATACAATATATTGTTGACATATAAAAATATCTCATATTTTATAATGCCTGTTAGTTGTGTTTATTCAATTTATAATTTATAGCATGTGTGGCAGAAGAAATATTACAAAAAAAACACCACCTAGCCTCTTAGAAGCTTGCTGTGCTGTGTTCTCTCCACTATACTGAACACACTGACCGAACAAAATGTATTGTGTGACCCAGTTTAAGCAGTTGCCTTTATGTGGACTAGTTTGAAATGAAATGGCCGACTGTACGGTCAAACACACTAGTTGGCTGAGAAGAGCTCTAACTGAAACAATGATTGGCCACGGAAATGAGAGGCATTCAATCAACTTGGTATTATATATAGGTATTATATATTGTATAATATATACTCGTGTAAAATAAGACAAAATGATATTAGAATAGAACATGTTGTTTGAACCCTTGACCAAATGCACTGTCTCCAAATCTAATCAGAATGTTGTTTATCACCAACATTGATGTAACTTTTTCGATAAAAATCTCTAAATGTGGTTACTGATGTTTTAATTGTATCTTACTGCTTGTCGTGACTGTTGTAAGACCGACACAAGTAAATCATACATGGTCTGTTTCTTCACATACGACTTGAGTCTTCAGTTGGGATTCTATTATGTTGTGTTCATTCACGTGAATCTACAATGTTGCATTCTGAATAGCAAAATTGAAAAGATAGTCTCATAATAACTTGTCCTAAATTGAAGTCGCTGGTATTTTACAATGGCTTGACGTGTGTCGTTAACCTGATGCAGCAATGTGATCCCGGGTGCGTTTTATCACAATAATTGTTGCGTTTTAGACGCATATTTTTGCATTGACGTCAGTGAGAAGTGAAGTCCCGGGAAACTGATATCAGCTCGGTCTAACTAATACTAATACCGGCGTAAAATTTGAACGTCAAATATTCATAGCTTAAAGGCCTTCACTCAGCGACGATTCGAAAAAAGGGGTTGTAAGTGAATCTGTGACTTAAACGGTATTTGAATGTCATGGTCAACATTATACTAGTAATTCTCTAATTTATTTTTTATCAATGTATGTTCACACTATGTATCGAAAAAAGGGGTTGTGAGTGAATTTGGGACTTAAACGGTATTTGAATGTCATGGTCAACATTATAATTGTCTAATTTATTTTTTATCAATATATGTTCACACTATGTATCGAAAAAAGGGGTTGTAAGTGAATTTGGGACTTAAACGGTATTTGAATGTCATGGTCAACATTATCATTGA